AGCCGAACTTCTCTGTCAAGCTTCTTCATCCATGACAGCTGCCATGGACAAAGAAGCAATGGCAGTCAAGTTGCCATGGACGACTACCAAGCAGCTTGGCTGCCATGGCGAGATTCTCCGTCCAAAGATTGGACGGAGAAGCCCGTCAAGGTTCTTCGTCCGTGGCAGTCCATGACAACTTGACTGCCATGGTTTTTCTTTAAAAAATTATAAATTAATATTATTATTTTAAATTTAAAAAATATTAAAATATTATTATTTTAAATTTAAAAAATATTAATCTAAGTGGCATCCTACGTGACAGGTGACTTAGGACTAACATGTTATTATAGGTCAAATAGGTTAATTTCACAAATTTAACAAGTTTAACGGTCTAATTAGAATTTTTTTTTTATTAAATTCGAGGGTCTAATTGCACTTTGTTATATAGTTGAAAGATTTGACCCTTATCTTTTTTTTTTTTACCAAACATTATAATTTTCCTAGTACCGGTGTCGTATGCTTAACGAGGTAATTTGCATTAAATGACTTGCTAGTACTTTTAAAAATTATGTTTGTATGCTTCTACGCTCGAAGGAGTCATCAACACAAGTCCAAACTTTTAATATTTATGACAAAAATCAAACTTCTACCCTACCACTAAAAACAAATCTTGAGTGATACCTTAATTAGGACTAGCTTCTCTATTAATTCTAAGTTCTACACTTTAAAGTCTTGTTACTATATCATATATGAATCGAAATAGATTTAACTATTTCTATGTTTTGCCAATTAAATAAGAAAAAAGTTTAATGTAACTCGTAATTATTTTACTATGATGATGACATTCTACTTTCCATATGAGAGCTTTTCCAATGCCAAGTAGGCACAATATCAGATGCCAAAATAGTAGAGTACTCCTCTAATGAGTTATGATGTATAATTCAAATATAACTCTAATTAAAATGGAATATTTAATTGTTACAAAGAAATGTGCAGTATTTAAATTTTTTTTATTTTAACAATGAATCTTGATTGGTTGTAAGATTTTAAAATTTTAATTTGAATAAATTAATATTTTCTCCCTAATTTTTTTTAACTTAAGTTTACTTTACCTGCTTTTTTTTTTTTTTTTTTTTTGTATATATAATAAATATATTATTAAAAATTCTAAATGATATTGATATTGATTTTTATTTTTTAAATTTATAGGTTCAAATTTTTAATGTAATTGTGTGTTAATTTTTTTTTTAAAAAAAAAGCTTCTAAAAAATAATGATGACTTAAATTGCCGTTCATACAACATTAATACCTTATAGATACGTAATATAGATTGGCCGCTTCTGCTATGCAAAAAGAAAAGTATACTTTAAAGAGAATGTGATTTCATTCCAATATTGACTTCTTTGTTTGATGAAATGTTTCTAAAATCACTTGTTTTTGTAGCGAAATTTTTATATGACTATTTGCTTCCTTGTTCTTTAACATTTATCAGAACTATAAAACAATTAAAGAATTGCATCAATTATATAATGCAATTCCCATAATATATAAATGTTGGTTGTGTTACAACAAATATTAAATTGAAAGTATGGATCATTTCGCTTATTTACATGTTAACTATTTTTTTAAATATAATTGTTAATTTAATTAAAAATGTAAAAATATCAATATAAGAATCATTTAAAATATCTTATTTAGAATTTTTTTAATGATATATCTTTTATACGTTAATTTTATTTGTGCAGGAGAAAATTAAATTAAATTAGGTGTTGCTGGCAAATGAAATAAAAATGTATCCAATTTAGAGCTGTCACTAAATTTTCACTACCACACGGAACTCTAGTTGCTACTCGAAACTCCATCGCCATGGGTAAGGTGTATTTGACCCAAAGCTTTTGATAAAAGGTGAAAAGGGAAATTTTTTGAAAGTTTTGGGTCAAATTTTTGAAAGCTCGTCGGTTTAGCAACTTTAATTCCAAAATCAATTCAATCGCCTCCAGTGAAAATCGGGGACAAGAAAGTATTGTTGTGCTCTTGGTTTTGAAAAGTAAATTCTGGATTAGACAACAATGTCATAGGCAACTTGTATGGCTACTGTTTTGATGTGGCTGGGTTACGAATATCAGAAAAGAAAGTTGATATTTGTGTCGCGAACACTACCCTAAAAGCATTTACGATTAGGGTATCACATGCTCTCGACATGACACACAGATGAACATGACTGAACTTGTATAAACTCAGGCAAAATATATGTGCATGAGGAAGGCTTTCTTCGTGGGTTAAGAGTGAAGGGGAAGGGCGAATTATATACTGTAAGCTATAACCACCCATCCCCATACCAGCCATAAAGATGGAGTGAAAATAGGGAGAGTAGAGAGGACCAACTCCATGTACACGCACGTTCCACTGTTGTGAATGGAATGCGGACAAGGTGACCCACAAAAATAGGGGTCGAAAATTATGATGGAATGCACCACACCGCGACGCGCGTGCGAGCCGAGTGGGTAGCGGAGGCACGCGTGTGGTTTCCCCTTATTTCCTCTCCATAACACTTCAGGCCTTCTAAAATGGATTGGTGTATAAAGGGTGGAAAAGATGAGTTAGCCAAGCAATGTAGGACAACTAGATAAAGACAAAACACAATAAATTCCTTTGCCTTTTAAATGTTTCCCAACAAGTATGGCCTATTCCGAAATTGAAGCTGCTGAACCGACAAGCTGCGCCGAAGGGAATCGCACGTTGCCTTCTCCGGCTTATTTCTCGTTGTCGATTTTCACTAGAGGTAGTCGGAATATCGTTATACGATCATCAGAATTCTAGTAACCTGTTATTATAAGTCACTAACCGAATTTTGGATCTTGATGGACTAAATTGACATGTTTATGAGCTTCATTGTAAATTTTAAAAGTTTGAGGTCTAATTGACTTCTAGTTCTAGTATAAAGTTCAATGGTGTATTTGATCTTATTTCCAAAAAAAAAAAAAAAAAAAAAAAAAAAAAAATAATAATAATAATAATAATAATAAAACAACTAAATTAAAAAGGTTTGAAAATGGTGGCAAATGACCAAATGTACAACTGAGAATAACATAGACGTGCATTGGAGTGTACGGCTGAGATCAGCATTCACGAGTGTGTCAGAGGCTGTTCACAAGAAAGGCCGTCGCATCTTTTTCACCTTGGTGTATTTTAACTTCTACACTACGCTCCATAAACAATTTCTTTTTCAAAAAATTTTTGTAAAATAAAAATATTACAACAACAACAACAAGATTATGCTATTGAAATTTTTTCTTCATTTTGTTTGGGAAGTGAAGAATTGAGAAAAAGAAAAATAGACTACCGAACATTACATGAAAAAGTAACTAAGGCCTTGTTTGGCAATCAGCGGTTAGCGATTAGCGTTAGCGGATTGTGTTAGCGGTTAACAAATAGTGGATTAGATTAGTGGGTTTGACCAGCAGATTGTATCAGCGGTTTATAAAAAGACGTTTGGTAAAATTAGCTGTTTAGAATAGCGGTTTACATGTAAAATGACCCATAAGGACATTAGTGTAATTTTATTATTATTATTGGTAATAATATTATAATAATTATAACTATATAAAAATTATTAATTTAAATGAGCAATACATTTGAAATTGAATAAAATAAGTGTGAGTGTATGCCACCAAATAAAAAAAAAAAAAGTAACTGTATGATATTAAATTTAATTGAGAATTAAATAAAGGGAGAAAAATAGCTAGCTTTCAAAAAAATAAAGGGGGGAAATAGCTATTAAATTTAATTATAGGAATGCAAAGTTGCATTTTAAATATATGGAATGAGGCATACAGCAAGTCATCGTATATGAAAAAAAAAAGAGAGAAATAAGGGCAAAATTGAGATTTCGAAAATAAATGGAGAAAAGCTAATGCTAAACGCTGCTCCTAGTAGCGTGTCAATTTTAGCGGATTGCACAGCGATTCGCTAAGTGAAAAAGCCATTAACCAAACGTCTTCTTTGTCAAACCGCTAAAGATGGTCAAATCCGTTAAAAAATGACGGATAAGCTGATAACCAAACATGGCCTAAATTTTGAAATTTTAATAAGTTATAATTAAATACATTAATTTATTAATTTGATTCAGTAAACCAAGTAATTGATTACAATTATTGACATAACAATATTTGTTCTAATAAATTAATTATAAATATTTAAAAAAAATTAACAAAAAAAAAAAAGAAGCTGGCCGATTTCTCCATCTACTCTTTTCTTTTCTTTTTTTTTTTTTTTTTTTTTTTTTTTTTTTTTTTGGTATAACATTCAAGAGTTATTTGAACATTTTCTATAAAAGTTTTTTTTGTCACTTTTATTTTCTTCTACCCCTCTATATTACATTTTGGATATTTTTTTTTGAAGGTATTAAAAATTAAAATTTTATTTTTTATTTAAAGACTATATTTCATTCAGTTAAATGATTATAATAATTTGGCATATAAATCAACTATCACTTAAAGTTGGTGGTCAAATGGGTATAGTTTCTTTTCTTTTCTTTTTGAATTGAAGTGTTTATATGAGGATTAGGTTTTAAGGATCTTCGTGCGTTTAATCTGGCCATGCTAGGAAAACAGGCATGGAGATTTCTTACTGAACCAACCACTTTGGTAGCAAGAATTTATAAGGCTCGATATTATCCTACGACCACTTTTGTTGATGCTACCATAGGGAATTGCCCAAGTCACTGCTGGCGAAGTATTATGGCCACCCATGATCTAGTCTGCGCCGGGGTGCGCCGAAGAATTGGAAACAGTAGGAATACATTGATATGGGGACACCCTTGGTTGTCTGATGATCCTAGTCCTTTGGTCCAAACACACATGTCTAATGAGTTAAGAGAAACATTAGTGATTGGTCTGATAGATCAAAATACGAATACCTGGGATCCACATATTCTCAATGATTTATTTATTCTTGAGGATGTAGCCCGGATTTCAAGAATACCTGTAAGCCCAGATTATGATGACACATGGTATTGAATGGGGGACACACAAGGAATATACACGGTTAAGAATGCCTACAGGCGTATTATGGGAGATTATTCTGATAACCCAGGGGCTTTTGATAAATGGGATACATTAGGGAAGTTAAAAGTGCCACCCAAATGGAAAACCTTTTTATGGAGGGCTGTGTCTGGCATACTCCCCACCACTGATAATTTGATTATTAAAAGAGTGGAGGTGGATCCTATATGTCCGATGTGTGGCTATGCACAAGAGAATATTATGCATGCACTGATTTTATGTGATTATTTTAAAATGGTTTGGAATATTTCGGGATTACCTGTCACGAATATTCTAACTAATTTATTCCAATCATGGCTCGTAGGCATGCTGAACTCGTTGACGGAAGGGCAAGTAAGGCTGGCCGTGGGAATTCTATACTATTTATGGCATGCCTGGAATTCGGCAGTATGGGAGAAGACTTTGCCACGGCCTGCATCCACAGTGAAGAGGGCGGTGAGGACCGAGGAGGCGTTCACCAAGCTTGGACGCGCAACATATCAACCTCCTGCCACCATGATGCTCGAAGACGATGCACAAAATCGGCTGAGGTGTTTCTTCGACGCTGGCTACAGACATCACACAGGAGAAGCGACATATGGAGTTGTGCTACTCAATCACGATGGTGTTTTTGTGGCGGCCACGTCTGGAACACTCCCTGGTGCTTTTTCACCTATTATAGAGGAAGCTCTTGCGTGCAAGGAAGCCCTATCATGGCTTAAAGGGCGCGATACACGGATGGTTGATCTACTCACAGATTGCATAGAGTTGCGAAACATGATACAATCAAGAAGTACAGGAACTCGATCTTATGTTGGGTCATTGCTGACCAGTGCAGGACATCTATGTCGTTATTTACATATTGCTCTTTAAATTATATTTCCAGAGCTGTTAATATGCATGCTCATACACTAGCTTCGTTAGCTTTCGATCAGGACCAGCCTATGTATTGGGACGTCGTCCCTCCTGACTCTATTACTATGTTCGTTCATTAATATACCAAATTACTTGGCTTTCAAAAAAAAAAAGTGTTTATTCGAAATTTTTTTATTGTAATTCTATTTTGAACATTTTTAAGAACATGTTTTACCCAATATCCCTATTTCTTATTAGTATTTTTTTTTTTTTTGAAAGCTATTTCTTATTAGTATAAATGTTACATTTCTCAAATTTTTATAAGATCTATAGTTTTAACTTGTAATAATACACTCCAAGAAAAAAAAAAAAAACTTGTAATAATAATAGATATGATAAGCTTTTAAATTGTTGATTTTGTGTGAGACCATTTTATGTTAGATCTCAAATATGTAATATTTTGTTATGAATTTACAAGTATTATATTTTTACTAAAAAGTATTATATATTTTAAACATAATTACATTTCGACTAATGCATTTTAAGTTAGGATCGTACTTTTGTGAGACCGTCTCACTAATCCTTATCTGTTAGACGAGTTGGGTCGGATCATATCAATATGAAAATGTAATACTTATACTGAAAAATGCAATAATAATCAAGAATAAAGTGGTTGTTACTTGTAAGAAAAAGTGTAATACTTTTATTGGGAAATGTAATACTTTCACATTTTGATGTAAAAGTATTACATTTTTCATCAAAAGTATTTTTTTTTTTTTTGATGTAAACCACACATTGTGGTCTGTGTCTTTCTCTGTCCGTACGGTCCAAGTCCACCCAGTTCACTCCAAGAGGCACAAAAGTTGACCCAAAGGGAATCGTTACTTGTGGAAATTGAACCCATGTTATCCTAGAATTCTCCCCCACAAAGAGAGCTTATTTGCCACTTGAACTACCCTATTGGGTTATCAAAAGTATTATACTTTCCTTTATAAGTAATGTTGGCAAGTGTTTGTTATTTATAAGAGAAAATGTATTACTTATGAGGAAAAATGTAAAATTTTAAATCAAGAGGTAATAATATTACATTTTTATTCAAAAGTATTGCATATTTACATATAAGTAATAGACATTTTATTCCTGATTAGTATTACAATTTTCAGTATAGGTATTATATTTTCATCTTGACCTGACTCGTCACACGGACAAAAATCCGTGATACGGTTTCACACAAGTTGTTGTCTTTAAATTATATTAGTGAAAATGTAACATCTATTGGCCCATAAAAAAAAATTACATTTTCACACAATTTTTTGTGATTTTTAAACAATAATTAAATATGGAAGTCGCAAACTTTATTTAGTCATATCATATGTGACAGACTTTGGTATAAAGTAATACATGAAAAAAATTATCATTATTTTACATGTCTCATCATGTAAGTATATATATACGTTAAATTATATACCGAGTAGATATTAAAAAAAAAAAAAAAAAAAAAAAAAAAAAAAGAACAAAATTCACAAACATGGTACATGTACTGAGATATTTTTTCTTCTCCTACTTATTATTATTTTTTATCAAATAAAAAGAATAATTGTTTATGCCTCCATTAAATATAACCGTACAAAATTAAAATCTTGGCGATTTTATCCTGGATCACATACGCCAGGACCACATAATTCCACAGAATCTCAGAATGCTACCCTCTTCATTTGATGCTTTTGCTATGCTAGCTATTTCCTTTCTTTTTCCTCATACATCAAAGTTTCAACATCAATTCTCCTATAGTTTATAGTTTGAATCTCTACATGGATTACCTAATAAAAAAAAAAAAAAAAAAGCACATTTACGTCTTTTCAAATGCTCTGTGGAGTCAGAGTAAGGGGACCCTTAGGGTTGAAGATTTAACATTTTGAGAGAAGAAGAGAGTGATCACTATCTCGAGAGGGGTGACCGAATTGGTAATTGTGATTCTAGTACCTATCTATTTGAAAGTCACAAGTCAAATCTGTCTTTTAAATTTTTGTAATCTAATTTTGATGTGTGGTTTGTAAACTATTGAATTAGATATCCCGTGATGGGACATTGATTCTTTAAACTGAAAAATAATTAAGATTGGAAAAAAAATTAAAACAAATACTAAATCATGAGTATTAAAAAAAAAAGAGTTCAAACCAATATTTTAAAATTTTGAAATATATATAATAAAATAAAGTATATATATAAATTGTAATATACAGTGACTTTTAACATAACATCCTCTTTTCTTTTGACTACTTTATTGACATATGGAAAAAAGTTTGAAATTATGAGGTGTGAAAGTGGCTTTTCACTGAAATATGCTACCACTCTTTCTTCCTCCCTTTTAAACCTTCTCTTTTCTAGCTCTCTCTCCACATTCTTCAACCCCATAGTCTTACAGACTAAGTATGGGAAAAGCTATAAGGTGGCTTAAAGGCTTGTTTGGGATAAAGCTAAAAGACATAGAGATTGAAGAGAAAGCTGATGAGAAGAAAGGTGAAGCCATTGGCAGCTCCGGGAGAGGTGTCACCGCCGCCGCAGCCGCCTTGTGTAACAACCCCACCACCATCCCGCCCAACATTACCCCGGCAGAAGCTGCATGGCTGAGCTCCTTCTTCTCCGACAAGGAGCAGAGCAAGCACGCAATTGCCGTCGCGGCCGCCACAGCTGCCGCTGCCGATGCCGCCGCCGCAGCCGCCCACGCCGCGGTGGAGGTGGTCCGCCTCACCAGCCAAGGCGGCGGGGGAGGAGCCTATTTTTCCCGGGAGAAATTCGCCGCCGTCAAAATTCAAGCCGCATTCCGTGGATACTTGGTAATTAATTATCTACGGTTTTCAGCAAAACAAGAGCAATTTCTCCATTTTTGTTGTTGGATTTACAGTAATGTGTTTGAATGGATAGGCGAGAAAAGCACTTAGGTGCTTGAAAGGATTGGTGAAGATTCAAGCTCTTGTGAGGGGATATTTGGTGAGGAAACAAGCAACGGCCACTTTTCACAGCATGCAAGCTTTAATGAGAGCTCAAGCTAGTGTTCGTGCCCAGAAATTTCGAGCTTCATTTTTGAATCACCAAACTTCTTGTCCTCGTAGCTTTCAGTCTCGAAAATCCATTGTAAGATCCCAATTTTCATTCCCAAAATTTTTATAATTTTGATGTTTATTTTATTTTATAAAATTTAATTTCTGGTTGGTTGCAGGGAAGGTCCGATAATGAAACGACAAGGAGTGGAAGACACCCATCGCCGTTTGAGGTTTCAACCAACGGAAATGACGACAACCCAAAGATTGTAGAGATAGACTCGGCGTTTAGGCCCGCGGGCGCCGGCAGAAGGTCGAGGAGGGCCAACACTTGGGTGCCGGAGCCCGGGGAGGAATCCTACGGGGGCCCGTCATTTTCCTCTCCGCTCTCGTGTCGAATTCCGGCGCGCTCGTCGATAACCGATTGCCGGCCGCACTTCCACGATTATTCCGACTGGGGGACGGTCACCGCCGGCGACGAGTGCCGGTTCTCGACGGCGCAAAGCACCCCGAGATTCCCAAATTCTTGCGGGTCCAACACCCCCGTCACGCCGGCGAACAGTGTCGGCGTGGAGACCTCCTACTTCAGAAGCTTCGACAACTTCCCTAACTACATGGCCGACACCGAAGCATTCCGGGCCAAACTGCGGTCCCAAAGTGCCCCGAAGCAGCGGCCCGAGCCCGGACCGGGCCCGAAAAAGAGACTATTATCCCCAATGATAATGGAATCAAGAGCGAGTGTGAGTGGGGGGAGAATGAGAATCTCATGCTCACAAGCTCAAGAAGTGATGAATTTCAAGAATGCAGTGATGGGTAGGCTGGATAGATCCGTAGAGTTTAGTGAAGAATTGAAGAAGATGTTGTTATGATGAGAATCTCAAGACAAAATAGAGCCTAGGGAATCATGCACTCCTTTTAAAGCAATGTTTAACCTAGAAAGGAATGGAAAGTGATAGAACATGAAGAGAAGAATGTACGTAGAGAAAGAGGCATGATGTGATTTGAGATTGCATTATATTGCACAACTTCTCGAGGTTGATTTTGATGTTTATTGTAATTTTAAACCATCCATGATCCATCCTACCTCATTATTAACTAATCATATTCCTCATAATTTATGTATGTATGAGTGTTTTTGTAATGCTACTGAGCCTGTTACATTGTAGTATCTGTTCAAATATATTTTCACACAAAGAGCCAATAACGTCTCTACTATGGCTCAATTTCATAACCTCTCATATGAGAGGTCACATTACAAAGTGATTGGCTATGTACGAGTGTTTGATTGATTTATGTTTTCAAATTTTCACTTTTGATTAATTCATTGCGACTATATATTATAGTTTATTAATGGTTGAGGTTTTAGTAAAAATAAAAATACAGGATCAATTTTATAATTCTTTTATTTGCTACCTCTAATATTTAACTTTAATTTGCATGAAACTATGACAAGATTCTTGCCACTTCCAAATATAAAAGGAAAATCACACCCATATATAATTCAAAATTCAAACTAGAGTGATGGGCTAGCTTAGCTTTATTTGGGCAAGCGGATAAGGTGAATCTTGCATCATCCATCTCATTTTTGTTTGTACATGCAGTGCAATTTCGAGTGCAGCATGCATGTGGTCACACCGGCTTTAGTTTCAATGAGTACGTTACTAATATAGTGTGAGTTGAATTAAAATACATAATTTGAAATTTTGAATGAGTTAGAAAACGTTCTATTCTTTATGATATATAGGATGATGTACACTCAATTATTACCAACACTATCTTAGTCGAGTTCGCCACACGTTATTTTTTTTTTTTTTTTTTTTTTTTTTTGTAATTTGCGAGCTATTAAATAGAAGTGGAGTTTACTCAATATAAACCCTCGATAGTGCTGTCAAAGGAAGCTGGCGAGGCGACACCATCAAAGCCCGCCCTATGTTGAGGCGGGCTAAATAACCCATCAATAGTACATGCCTAAGGGAGGTTGGCCTGGGCCGCCTTAGGCCAGTCAGGTTAGGCGAGACCCCTCAAAATATGGACTTTGTAATTTTTGTAAATTTATAATTTGTAAAAAAAATATATGTTAATGCTAAAATCATTTTAGATAGTCTAAACTCTAAAATTTAAATAAAGATATTTTAAAGATAAAGGAAATTTGGGATTATCTTCGATTTTTTATTTTGTAAATTTGTAACATTTATTTATTTTAATATATATTTTTAAATTCAGTACATTGGAGGGCTTGGCAGACCCCCGACAGCCTGCCAATTTCGCTAGTTAGGCGGGCGGGCTCAATAAAACAGACTTAAAATCTCAAAGTCCGAGCAAGGTGAAACGAGCTAAGCCCCTTTTTGCAGCTCTAAGCCTCTAACCCTCGGAGTGATTATGATTGTCAATCATTATTGTGTGGACCATATTTTGTATACTATAAAATAATGTACATCCAATACAAAAATAATGTACATTGTATTAAGGAGATGTACATTATTTGTGTACTGAGTGTATATTATATTATATAATGTACATTAAATATAAAAATAATGTATTTTTTGTTATGGTCCACGTAACATTGACAATAATTTGCCTATTGTGGGGCAATAGGGCAAATTATGCTGTGCATCCGTATGCACCATGCATGGTGCATACGGATGCAAAAACGACGTCGTTTTAATAAAACGTGCGTCTCCCCTTAAAAAAAAAATCAGATTCGAATCCCAACAACAATATATGCACTAAAATTCCATAATCGATGAACTATAATTCCATAATCGATGAATTATAATTCTATAATCGGTGAACTATAATTCCATAATCTAATCTATGAACTAAAAATTCCATAATGAATGAACTAAAATTCCATAATCTATAAACTAAAATTTCAGAATCGATGAACTACAATTCTATAATCGATGAACTAAAATTTCAGAATCGATGAACTACAATTCCATAATCGATGAACTATAATTCCATAATCAATGAACTATAATTCCATAATCTATGAACTAAAATTCCAGAATGAATGAACAATATAATGTTGTTGTTGGGAATCGAACCTGAATTTTTTTTAAAGGGGAGACGCGCGTTTTTTAATAAAACGACGTCGTTTTGGCATCCGTATGCACCATGCATGGTGCATACGGATGCACAGCATAACGATTGCTATTGTGGTGGTTGGAAATGGGCCTTGTTTCTTGTAGAGATTGTAACCTGGTTTCTTTATCATATTATTTCTCTGGTTTGGAACCTTCGAAACAAACTCCATAAAACATGAATGGGCCATTTCGCAATTCGACAAGGAAGCCCAGTTGTGCTATATGCGATTCGATGAAAACTTGGACTCTATTACCAACTGCAAATTATGCAGTATGGTGCACACAGTTGTAAAAACAACATCGTTTTGATTAAAAACGCGCATTTTACTTAAAAAAATTCAGGTTTAATTCCTGGCAATAGCATTTTTTTGTGCATAATTTGAATTATATATCCACAATGAATGAACTAAATATCCACAATGAATAACCTAAATATCCATAGTGAATGAATAACTAAAAATCCAGAATGAATGAACTAAATATCCACAATGAATGAACAACATAATGCTGTTGAGGGGAATCGAAACTGATTTTTTTTTTTTTAAATGAGACGCACGTTTTTAGTCAAAACGACGTCGTTTTGCAATCGTGTGCACCATGCATGGTGCACATGGTTGCACAACATAACTATTGATTACCAACCCCATTTTTTATCAATTGTTATACCATGGACCAGGGTTCATAAATCATAACCTTGATACAAAAATTCTATACTTCTTGTTAACATTTTTTGTACCTACCGTTAACAGTTTTTGTACATGTAAACAAATAACTTGATAATTACTGACACTTAATATGATAGCTACAATTACATAAACTATCAACTGCAAGTACAAAATGTGTTAATTATAGATACAGAATCTGACTTGATAATTGTTTGACACATAATATGATAGCTACAGGTACATAAAGTATCAACTACAGGTACAAAATGGATGAACTAGATACAGAATCTAAAGATTATTTTTGGACAAAGGTCTACAATGCAAGGTAGACCCTGGTCCATGGTATAATTAATTTGCCATTTCTTATACAAAGAATTATTATAATTTGAACGGTGAATCATGATCCACATTACTAGGTAGACCATTAACATACATATTTATTTTTAATATATTAATGTTCATTTTTAATCTATTAATTTCTAGATAAATTCTGGAATTGATCTCATCTCACTATAACAAGAATTTTTTATTCACAAAATTCTCCTTTGTGCTATGTGTTTTTTTTTTTTTTTTTTCCAACAAAGTTTACAAAGATATGTTCAAAACCTAAAAAAGGAGAAAAAAAAAAAAAAAACAGAGTAGAGATTGTGTAATATTGTTAGGTAGGGATTCAGAGCTTGATCCATTCAAAACCATCAATGAAACCAAGTGTTATAAAAGGCTTAGCTTCCTCTTCCGTAAGCTCTCTGCACCATGAAACTCTTCCTGCAAAATTTGCCCCTGGTCCACTGCATTTGTATTGCCCATAAAACACAGTCCTGCAATTTTCACAATCACAAATCTCATTTTATATGAAACTAACATACCCCAAACATGAAAACGCTTATCTTTAAGAGTTTTCGTGCATCATAAGCTAGACAACAATATAAGTCGAGTCAATTGAAGTATATATCCCAATTTATCTCATCTATTAAGTCTCAAGGGCAGGAGCAATGGAGACTCTCGAGATTGGAGTGCAATCCTTTAGTAATATAAGTTATGGTGTTAATTATAAATACGAGTAAAATTTCTGGAATTTAATAACTCAAATAATGAATTTGGTAGTTATATCCTTTTTTTTTTTTTTTTTTTTAAATCTTAGTGGTGCATTATATTAAGGATAGATTATAAAATTGAGGCAAGAAGTAGACATGCACAAATGGGTGGGATTATCCAATCAAGAACATAACTATATCACTTCTAAGTATTGTCAGTAAGATTCCGAAATTGTCCTCCTATATGCATAGTGACAAATGAATCACTAAGATGCCCTAGTGTCTGTTGGGTGCCCTTTAAATTAAATATAAAAAAAAGCTACAAATTGCAATATAGTAAGTATGCCCCAAAAAAATAAAAAGCTACCGAGGAAAAAGGTAATATGACAAATTCCAAACACATAGATACATAGATAGGTAATGGCACCGTCCCACGCTTGCAAAGGCTACCCATCCACAATAATTCTATCTACTTAGCTTCTTTCTTCTTTTTATTTTTTATCTTTTGTGGGTTCGGTGAATAACTGATATTAAGAATGTACTGATTATGTCCGCACGGGTTTAGATCACTGATTTAGTAGTCTGTATTTAAAAGAAGAATTTACTGGTTATGAAATTCGGTTGATATATAGATACTTACATTTCTCGATTAGGGTCACCCCAATTGTGCCAACCTTTGGGTATGATAATGTTGTCCATGTAAGTGTAGGCAAAAACAACCCTAGAAAAGGGACCCCATGCCCTTCCAAGGTACAAAGCACCTGACCCAGTGACCTTACAGTTGACAAATGCGAACCCTGTGTCTTCTAACAGGCTGCTTCTTCCTTGTGCTGTTACAGCTCCAGTCATTTGTGCTATTGCATGTAAATGACTATTCTGCACCCCAAAAAATGGTTCAATATGTTAATGGGTGAAGCTAAGGTCACAATTTTAACAAGGCAGGGTTACGTTTATCCAGTGCACATATTCAGATAGTGGTTATGAGTTTTCCTTGTAAGGTGACAATTTGAACAAGATGGATTTACCCAGTGCACACTTTCAGGTAGTGGCTGTGAGTTTCTCTGATAAGGTGGAAATTTTAATTTGTGAATGAAGAGTATGTGTACCTCAAAGAAAGAAAGGCCATTGCCAAAAATGAAGTCCACAGAGCCTTCAATGTAGCAATCTTTGTAATAGTGCCTGCCAATATGATCATAGAGGGTGTCCTGTGCACCCAAGAACTTGCACCCTACAAAGGCTGCTGTGTCTGCAGATATCCTAAATGCCACTGCTTGTTTCCCTATTGCTCCTGGTGGTGGCACTGGTGTTGTATTC